GGCGGCTGGCCTGGCCTGCAGGGTGAAGCACAGCAGCCTAGGAGGGCAGGACCTCGTCCTCCACTGGGGTGGTAAGAGTGGGATCCAGGCTGGAGATGGGAGGAGTTGGTTCACTAGCAGAGCTTGAGGGCCAGCTAAAAATTTGGGATTTACAAATTCCCTATCAAAAAAGATATATATTATATATATAATTCAAAGAATGGAAGAATTTAAAATGAGGGGTCTAAAGATTAAGTTCCAAACATCTTCCTGGTGTCCACTTGAATCTGCAGCACCTCCTAGTGCCCTGGGCTGGATCCTCTCAGCTGTGACAGTGGCCCTGGCTCTTCTGGCAGGTCTTGGATTTTGGTTTAGGAAACGCTGGTGAGTTCTTTGTATCCCTCCTCCCCAATGGTCTTCCCTTCCTTTTTTGACTTTTTCTTCTCCTCTCAGCCCCATTCCCATCTTCTCCTCCGTCCTCATGTCCACCTTATGAAGGTCTGTTATTTTTTGTTCACTTAGGACCCACTGTGAAGCTCCCTGCAGTGCTCTCCCTTTGAAATGAGGAGCCAGCTACCCAGGTGCTCAGTGTACCCATGAACACTGCTTGGTGATGACATCACTTCAACTCTCCTTGTTAAAACTTTGCCACTCATTTCTGCTCCATGATCATTTACCAATATATGCTCAATGTAATCTTGCCGGATTTGTTGTTCTGACCTGGTTTCTGTGGGTTTAACCCTGAATGGAACAGGGTGTTAGCAGTGTCAGCCTGGTTAGATAAAATGGATCATCAGATGCATTTCAGATGTCACATCCTCCAGGGGTCCTTCCTTGATTCACAGTGAGAAGCCATCTCTCCTCCATCTGTGCTTCCCCACATGTCAACTGTATCCCTCACTTTCTAGATTCTGTCACAGTTTTGTAGGTTTGTTTCTTCTTCTAAGTTTTCAAAAGTTTTCTCAAACTGTATCCCTGGTGAAGTGTCTGGCCTGCATGTAGTATGTTCTCAATAAAAAACTTGTGTTGGATTTACGTAAGTTTTTGTAGTTTTTTATTATTATGATTTTTTATTCTCTGCCTTTCTGACACCTGTGTTGTATTTATGACATCTGATGCTCTTCTTGCTAAGTCTTTCTTTGCCAGGAGACTTCATGCATTCCTAGTTCTACATTCTTTTCCGAGTCTCTGAGAGGAAACACAGCTTTGCCTCTTATCAATTCTGTTATTAGATTTTAGGTAAATATTAGCATAAGACTATTGTTCCAAGTGCTCTAAACCAAAAGAGCAGGGGAGGATGAAGGTCCTCCATATTCAGTGTGGTTTATGGTCAAGCAGCAGATTCATTACATGGGAGTTTGGTAGAAATGTAGACTCTGTGGCCTGGCCTCAGACTTACTGAATTCCAGTTTTCATTTTAACAAAATCATCAGAAGATTCACAGATACATTAAAGATTGAGAGGCACCCCATTGTGTTGATACCCGAAATATGGCCCAAGTGCATCACTGAAGAGGGAATCAAAATGAGGAGCCAAAGTGCTGCTTTTGAGGATTGAAGTAGGTCCTGTGAGTAAAGTGCATTCTCAGCAATTATGTTCTCTACAGTTGCTGCTGCAAACACTGCCATAGTGACCACTGAGCCATGCTCCTAGGGTAAATAGAGGGGTAGGTTCCTTTGAGTGTCTGTCCTCAGTGTTTTTGTTACCTGATGAACACATAAGTTTGTTTTGCCTATTTTATTTAAAAATCTTATTTAGTATATATTTACAAGTAATTTATTTTTGCTGTAGATCTTTAAACAAAAACATTATCTGAGAAGTGTTTAACAATTTCCTGATGCTGATTAATGTGATCACAAATATCCTTGGCTTTTAAACTTCCAACAATGCTGTCTGCCATATGTAAAAAAGTCAGGTATCATCTCAAGAAGCCCCAAATTTTGTTGTTGGTCATAGTTTTATCATGGAATAGATGTTATTTTACAACATAACTTCACCTAATAGTCATTAAATTTTATCTTTCTTTTTCCAGTGTATCTCTTCGTTCATTAACATTGTACTCACAGCCAACAGCATTATAACTACAACAAAGCAGATCTAAAACACCTTCTTCCTGTGTAATACACATCACAGCCTTTTTCAGTTTAAGGACATTGGATAGCCCTGTGGAGATATGTTTGGGCCATTTAAATTGACAATATCAGTGACAAAGAGCACAAAAATGTGAAAAACATGGCACTCACTACTAATCCTGTAGTGAGAAGGGAAACCTGAAGACAGAGCTTCACTTTTTATTTTTTTTTTACTTTCATAGGGAATGTGTTCTTCATTTGACTTTGATTTTGTACCACTCTGTACATATCTATGAATGTCTGCAAAAGCACTGTCAGTACTTATTGCAGGATTGCAAATGGTAGAGAAATTCAGAAATCCTGACAAATGGGGATTGACTAATTACCCCAACTGGCAGTGTGAGTCAAGACCTCCATGATCAGACTCTGTACTTTAAAATCCATAAACTGATGTAACAAACAGTTCTTAGGCATCTACTATACATTTACTTTACAGCAAGTGTATATTGAGTACACAATAATGGAAGGAAAAAGATCATCACTGTGTTCTGAACTGGAAAATTTTGCCTACTCAATTTGATTCTGCAGTTTATTATTTCCATTGTTTCTTTGTTCTTAGCTTCCTGGAAGGACTTACTTGAAATGAATTTTGGGAAAGGTTCTTAGCCTTATTTTGCTTAGGGAGTGAGCAGCGGGAACCTAGGAAACGAGAACATCTAGTGAGACCAGGTGCAGGTGATAGGACATGTAAGAAATTTTCCCATGGATTTCCTCCTGAAAAATTCATTCATGCATTGATTTGTCCTTCTTAATTTCATTGCACATCTAATTTTACTATTTGTATGGCAAACATATTCACTGGGAATAGTTCCAAAACAAAATTAGGCTTGATTAGATTACAATGTGCAGATCTTATTTAAATCTGACCAGAACTGGGGGAAAATATGAGGAAAGTAGCCCAGATTCAGATAAAATCCTCCATTTACAGCAAAGTTTCATCTACAAAGCTCCCTACAAATTGAATTTGCCTGTTTATCTTAAAGTAGTGGGTAAAAAAAATTATTTCCAACAGACAAACAGCTGTCACTGCAGGTGAGCATTCTACATCAGGCACCAGAATCTCAATTTAGAACTGAGTGAAACAACATTTTCTCTTTAAACACCTGCTGACACTAGTCAATGTTTATATTTCACACTAGGTCACGTGGAGAGCTAAACAGTTAACCAAGGCTGTAAGGCTGTGGAGTATTGAGACTTTCTTAGGAATAAACAAAAAGATTGATTTTTGAATTTTTTGTACATGTGTGACAACAGAACATGACAGCATCAGACATCTCTGTACAATTCTAGTGAAGCAATTGTGACAGAGGCTCACTTCAGTTTCATGTCACATCCTCTGTGCCTTTGTGCCTAGACTTTTCCTGCAGTGTGACTGGGACACCTGACAGAAGCTGCTTAGCATTTGTCAATGCTCAGATCTCCAAGTGTCAGTGTGTAACACCCCGTGGACAATCCTTGACAATTAATGGATGGGAGGTCATGAGTTTGTACTCCTCTCATTTCTCAGGTAGATATTCAAAGACAAAATCAGTATGGAGAATCAGAAGCCCCCAGAAAGATCAGATCCCAGTTTTTTTGTAGCAGCGACCAGCCTGATAACATCATAACCCTTCTCTTATTTCCTGTTTTACCTTTCTTATTTTCCCACTCATGGTCATGTTATCATGTCCCCAAATAAAATTTTAAGTTTAAAGCTCCCAATGCCAATATACCCTACTTTGGCTTTCTCTTCTTTTCTGTTTTATGATCTCCACTATGATCCACTACTCTTATAAAGAATATTTTCAGCACTTAGAAGTTTCCCTCATGGCTTCTCTTTCCAGTTAGTAACCTCTTAAAGGCAACCAATACTCTGATTTCTACCAACTTAGACTAATTTTGATTCAGTTTTTTGAAACTCACATTCTGAATTCTTAATGGTAAGTACTATGATATGTCTGCATTTTTTGCTGAACATTATTTCTGTAACATTTTACTTTGTTGTTCCATAACAGTTCAACATTTTTTGTTGCTGTTCTACAATATTTTTTCCATTCTGCTATAAATGGATATTTGAATTGTTGCTAGATTTTAGATATTTTGAACATTACTGCTTTTATAATTTTTGTTTTATATAGATTTTTTTTCCTTTTTGATGCTACTGGAGATTTAACCCAGTAGCACCCTATTTCTGAGCCACATCCCCTTTTATTTTTAAATTTTATTTTGAGACAAGGTCTTGCTAAGTTGCACAAGGTGGCCAGGAAATTGTGATTCTCCTGCCCCAGTCATCAAAATAGCTGAGATTACTGATTTATGCAAGTCTTTGTGAACATCAGCACTTGTTTCTCTTGGGAATACACATAGAAATGAGATTTCTGGGTCAGAGATAATGTGTATTTTTAAAAATTTCTCTATTTTGCATTTTATTTTTACTTATTAACACATACTAACTGCACATATTAATGGTGTGATATTTCTACATGTGCATATAGCATTCAAAAATCCAATCTCATTTTC